GAGCCCCTCCGCCGCGCGCTGCCGTGCCGCAGCCATCCGGAGACCCGCGGGTCGCCCAGCTCCCCGGCTGCCGGCCTGGGCGGTCTCGCGTGCTGAGGGACGTTCGGCCGAGAACGCTGATCTGCGCTCGGAGCCAATTTATCGTCCTTCTTCTGCGTGGCCGCAGTCGGTAATAGGTCCCCACCAACCCGATAAGGCTATTTTTCTAACAACTCAGGGGCCGTTTAAAACACGGACTACAGCTCCGTGGGAGCGGAGATGTCGCGGCCCCGAGCGCGCAACGCAGGGCCTGGGGCCCAGGGCCAGGGCGTGTGCGCGGGAGCAAGGCCGCGACGGCGGCAGTGCAAGCTCCGCTCGCGGAACCGACTTCTCCCGCAGCCCCCCGCGCGTGTGCGCTGACGGCCCGGCCCCGCTTCCACGCTCCACTAAATTGGTCTGCGTTTTACTTCCTCCTTCACTGCACCCTCATACAGGCAGCTGCAGCTCTGGCCGGGTCGCTGGGAGATGGCTTTTAGGAAGTTTTTATTTTCTGGTGTTTCGAGACCGTCTCACTACGTAGGCCAGGCTGGCATCTGCCTCAGCGTCCCGAGTACTGGGATTGCAGGCCTGCGCCACCACGCCTGGTTTAGGGAAATATTCTCGTCACAGCGCCTGTGGTGAATAAGTATATCTCACAATGAAAACGGCTGCGTTTGGGAACTGGCTCCGTTGCGGGTTCCCTTCATCTGCAGCCCCTTTCCAGGTAAAGCGGTTTACAAGAGGGAGCACTGGCACACGCCTGTGCTCTCACTGCGCTGACACGCACGGGCGGGAGGACCCAAGCTCCTGAAGAGCCCGGGACACTCAGTAAGAAAAGAGACTGGAGATGAGGCTCGGGCAAAGACTCAGCCGCCGGAACTGCAAAACAACAAGAAATAAGAAAGAAATCGGACCGAGCAACAGCGAAGTGCGAAATACTTGGCAACCACGTGTTCTTCGGTGTGAACCCCTGGAAAAACACTTCCAGGTGTCGTGGGCCGGCAGCTCCTCAGGGAAGCCTCCCGTCCACCAGTGAACACAGGAGGAGTCTGACTCCCTGCCAGTCAGCAGTGGCTGCTCGCAACCGTCCTAAGAGGGCGTCTTGCTGCGCAGCCGCGTTCACGGTGCTCAGGGGCAGCAGCTCTGGTAGACGCGATAACCGGTGACTACAGCGTAGAAGATGTACAGTCAGAACACCTGCTCTGTAAGCGTGAAAGATGGCAGCCCCTAGAGACAGAGTCCTTGCCTCAAGGAAAGTGTGTGCTCTATTGCAAGTGGAACCTACGGATGCTGTAAGTGCCGCTGAATCAAATATAAACGCTACTTGAGCAATAGAGTCAAAGGAATTTGTACGATAGAAAATTTTGAACCAGTGGTTTTTGTTCTATGTGTTGTAATCAAACATGATTTCCCAGAATATTTATGTTTTTCTTTGCACAGATGTTATACATTCTGTGTAGTTTTCTTAAAGGGAACATTTTGAGACCGGGCCTGGTGGTGCACGCCTGTAATCCCAGCACTCTGCAGACTGAGGTAGGAGGATCGCTGTGAGTTTGAAGCCAGCCTTGGCTACAAAGTGAGTTCAAGGCCAGCCTGAAGTGCATACTGAAACCATATCTCAAAAAGACAATAAAAAACGGGGGGGAGGGGGGGAACACATTTTGAATCGTCTAAATTGGCTCTATCAACAACCAAGAGACATAAGTTCTCTTCAGTAATCTCTGAAGTTTCTTTAAATTATATGTTTAAGACAGCAGAGAAACTGGATTTTATTAGAGATCACTGCTTCCACAGAAAGGCTCTCAGAAGTACTTGAGGAGAGAAGATTTCTCTTGCACGTGAGAGTCTTAGAGGTAATAATGTATGAACTTATTCTGTAAAGCATTCAACTGTATATTTGATATGTAAAACATGTAAGTACTGATGTCAGCCCTCTCTTCAAATTTAACCTGGAAATACTGTTGTACGATTTTCTTTGGTCACAAACATTTGGGATAAGTAGAGCCACTTAGGTTAGGATATTCTTCACTGCCATTCAGCAAATCACCTGCCTGTAGTGGAGGCTATGAGCAAAAATGTCTATGATGTAACAGAACTCAGTTTTTACACTTTTAAATGATTTTCACATGATTAATTCCTCACTATTTCTCTGAAACCCGGTCTCATAAAAGTGAAGTACATGTCTTTCCCTTAAAGAAAAACCCAACACTTTCCAGGTAAACAGGTGAACCTAGTAAAGAATGAAATGCAGTCTACTCTCTCAACCCTCAAAGTTTGCAGTACTGAGACTGTCGCTCTGTTCACTTCTGAGGCAGGTGAGCACATTTGGATAGCTGAAGTTGTCAGTCCCATGTACCTCCCAAATAAAAAGCAAAGAGTAAGTAACGGTAGTGAACTGACTTGTAGGCAAAGCAGAAATCACCCTGCATGTTGCTTTGCAAAGAAATGACCTTCTCCACCCAGGCATCTTATGCAGGGTTCTGTCACGGACAGTGTTGTGTAAAGCAGCAACACTGCAGGCAAGGAGTGGCTGTCTCACTTACTGGCTTGCTTTGCGTGGTCTCCCTTCAGACAACTCATGTAAGATTCAGATAATGCACATCAGTCAGATAAGATTCAGATAATTCATAAAGGATGTACACACACACACACACACACACACACACACACACACACACACACAATCTCACTCCTGCTTTCAAGGAGGTCCTTGAAGTGGTCCTTCCAAGTCCAAGACAGCTTCAATTACTGAAAGTCTGCTGGTGGGAGAAAAGGAAGAGAAGTTTGTAGAGAGGAGTAGCTTGCTTTTTAGAAATACGTCTGTGTACAAACTATCCAAAAACACATTCTTAAATTTCCCATTTTATTTTCAACATTGAATATTTTTTCCAAGTAACTCTGTCTCATTTGTTTGTTTTATACAGATGATCTAGACATTTCTCCTGCCTCCCCATTTTTCAAGCAATTTAGCAACTGTTTAAGTGTACACATCACATTATATCTGCTACTGTTCTAAACTTTCCGTGCCTTCTCCTTTTGGAGACGGCAATTCTTGTAGTTACGAGATACAAGGCCCACATGCTCCCCCTTCCTTTCTGCTTCCTCTCTATGCCCCAGAATCAAACTCCTGCTGTTTCTGCAAAATGGGAATCACCAAGCTCCATATCAGGTCCTTGCAAGTGGAAAACTTTGCTTTGGACCTTCCCTTTATGTCAGCCAGTCCTCACAAAGCTATCCTACTCTGTGAAACCTTCATGACTAGGCAGCCAGCACCTTCCCATTTTGCTGTGCATTTGTCCAATCTTACTTTAGTTCTTTTATAATACATAGTACTAATTGAAGCTGTCTCATTCATTAATTGGTAGGCTTATTTATTGAACCTAAGCCCAATAAATGAATGAATAATGTAAACTATATCTGTGATGACACTTTTTTTCTCTCCTTGTTTTCTTCTCCCTGCAACTTAGTTCCTACTGCCCAGACAGGTGGATCCCCCATGTTACCCTCAAAACAAAGCTGGAAAAGTCAAATACCCCAAGCTGGTGATATAGCCAGGACCCATGTGCATCCCTCAAATTTACTCATCCTCACAAACAATGTAACCAGCCCACAAAAAAATTTTGCTTTAAATATTTTTAAAACAAGAAAATATATAAAATAACCTCTGCTCCTGTCTCACTGTTTGAAACTGTAATATTAGAAATAAACTCAAATCTTGACATTTTAATTGTTATTTTTAATATATCTGTGAACAAATACTTGGTAAGAACACATTTTAAATACATCAATAACTTACAAAGGTCATACCTTTCTGTGACTCTATTAAACTAACTGGTCAAAAGTGCCTCAGTTTGCAAGAAATAGGTAAGGGTGCGAGGGAAGAGAGGGAAAGCAAAGGGGAACCAAAGCCCTGGAAAGTACAGCACCCTCCACAGCTGGCCCAGAGGATGGGAGGTTCCAGTAATCCAAGTGGAACCTAGCTATGAGACCAAGAGTGTCCCGTGGATGAAACCTCAGCTGAGATGCAGATGTTACCAGAGTTGAAAAATATCCCAAGGTCTTGACGGAAGGACAAATACGGTGAATTTAACTACCACAGACTCACCAGCACCTGGGGCATCACTGGAGAGGCTCACTTATGTATGAACAATGTCCTATGAAGTGACTCGAAGTTCATCTATGACAGGTCCCTGCAAGCTTCCAGACAGCTGAGCAGTGCGCTATAAAAGCAGCCCCTGAGTTTAGGGGTGGGTGGTCAAGCTACATTTGGAAGCAGTAGCAAGATGTTGTAGCCCAGGGCTCTTAGGTACAGACTTGACCATCAAAGCTCGAGGCACAGGTTGGAACTCAAGATCTGAATCTAGAGCTGTGTGCTCCGTGCCCACCGACCTACGCCTTTTGGCTAGAGCCTGGTGGTTTGGACCCTGAACCCCTAGTTCCCGGGGAGGACGCCCACGACGAAGTCTGCCAGCTAACAAGTGGATATCCGGAGCAGACGGACCATGGCAGGGCCGTGGAGCTGGGCTGAACTCCCGGGAACTGTGCGCTGTGGCCCTAGACCCAGCAGCAGCGCCTCTGGCAGGTGGTCGTCCCGACGCACACCGAGGACGCACATTCCTGCTGCAGCCAGTCTCACGGAGGGAGCCCACAGACAGAGGGGATTGCGGCGCCTGACGAAGCCGGAAGTGCTTCAGGCCTAGTGAGGCTCTCCTGGCTGCATGGACATCCTTCCAGGGGGTCAGCTCCTGCTTCTGGAGAGCTGTGAGTTCCCTGTGGTCCACGACCGCCCGGTCTTGGCCCCGTTTCCACAGCTCATAGCGCTCAGGTTGCAGGATGCGCACAAAAGCATCCATGGAAAAGCTGACCCTCGCCTCCCCGCAGCTGCACTGAGAAGCCACTTTGCCATAATCGACCCAGCGCGGGGAGGCAAAATTGATGGCCTCTGCACAGTTGAAGCCATGGTTGAAGCCAGCATGGTAGCCATAGGGAAAAGTCACCATGAACTCCCCAGCCTCCTGAGTCATGCAGCTGAAGGGGATGCCATTGTCCCTGAGCACTGTGGGTGAGAGGAGAACCACCTTGTGCCTCAGGAAAGCGCCACAGACTCTGGAGCTGCCTGGGAAAAGCTCCCTGGCCAGAAGCTCCAGGCGCTGGCCATGCTCTGGGGGCACCGCATACCAAGTTTTGGGCTCCCCAAAGTGCAGGTAGTTGATGCTGTAGAGGTCCATGTCCTCCGTGTGCCAGGCGAACGTGGTCTTCCACATGCCAAAGTACAGGTAGGGTGTGTTGACTCCCTCGATGACCACTCCACATTCGTGCTCCAGCAGATCCAGAACGGTGCCCAGGCGCGCGAGGTTCCACTGCTTTGTGTTTTCATCAAACAAGGAGCCACTGATGTCAGCACCATAAATTGGGGAATCATAGAGGCGATTCTTCCAGTACTTTCTCTCCAAATCTTCAAAATTCCGGTGTGCGGGAGCCTGATACTTTGCACTGTTGGCCAGGCGCTGGTACTCCCTCACTGTCATGGGTTTCTTCCTTTTATGGTATTGGGTGAACACACCTGCCTGCCCAGAGACCACCTGCTGCAGAGGAGTGGCTATTAAGAGGTCACCGATGTTGTCGTAGGACTCTCTGGCTCTCCATTCCTTGGGAGGAATCACCTTGGCTAGGCCAGCTCTGTGTGCGCCCTGGGATTCCATGTAGGCAATGTATTTATCAAAATCATTAAACTCTTCTTTGGTTGGATGAAATATCATTATGCTACAACTTGGATTCTGAGCACATCTGTTTTTAGACTTCATAGTTCCAATTTAATAGAAAGCAACCTCTTAGTGTGTCGATAGATTATAGATAGTTGAGACGCAGGAAAATGCTAGTCTTTAATTATTGAGTTGCTGTTAGGTAAGAGGCAGTAAGATGTACCAGCCAACTTTTTGCAAATGAAATAATAATCTTTCTTAGGCTTTTTGGTGGACGACTGTTGTCCAGGTAGCAGCTGCCCAGATGCTGATGGTCACTCAGTCTGCAACTCTATTATTTTCCTCAGTTGGGATCTGCTTTCTGTCCTCTTGAGTTGTACTTAATTTCCCAAACCTGAGTGGATGACTGAAATATAGGAAGTGTATCTTCATGGAAATATCTGAAACAAAATCGAAATAATATAGAAAGATTGAAAATTAATGTTTGGAAAAAGTTATTGGGAAACTATAAATTAAACACAATGAGATACTCTCATTTAAAAGAAAAGCTAAAATTAAATTGCAGATACAAGTGACATGGACGTGGAACAAAACACTAGGAATTCTCAAACCTTACTAGAAGGAATGCAGAACACTACAAGTCACTCTGTAAACTGGACAGTATAAACTTGAACATATATATGTGCTATAATTTAATTGTTCTATATGTCCAAGAAATGTGCAGGGCTGTGGACTGAAATCACACCTAAGAATGCTTCTAACATTAGTTCTAGTAGCCAAATACTGTAAACAACCAAGTGGCCATCAACATTACAAATGATAAATACATTATGGTACTGTATATTCATATAATGGAATACTGTATACCACCAAAGATAAACAAAAGCTACATAAAATGCAGGAATAGTTTTACATAATAGTTTATAATAGTTGTCTAAAGATTTTATTGAACAAAAGTGTTAAAATTAAGAGATACCTATTACATGATCCCATTATGTGAAGATCAGAAGGAAACAGGAATCTACTCTCAAAGTCAAAGTAGTGGTTACCTTCAGGACGAGGTTGTTGTGAGCAGGGACCTAGAGTAATGGGGATCTCTAGTCTAACAGTGATCTACTCTGAACCTAGGTGCTGGTTACATGTCCATCAGCATAGCTTCTCATGATAATTTATCAAGCTATGGTTACTTTCACAGACTTCTGTATGTTAGTTTAAGATATAATTTGGGCAAAAACCATTAAAGACAACTGAGATATATTTTATTATATTACAAGGAAAAAGAGTGATGGAAAATAAATGAACTAAACATTCACTTGAAAAAGGCAGAAAATAGAATTTGAAGGGAAAAAGGGGTAGTGAATAAATTACAAAGAATAGAGACCATGCATTTCCTTAACTGATATTGTATACTTTGTGGCATTCCCCATGCCTTGCACAAACTGGTAGAAGCCCTACACAGACAAAGTCCATCATGACAGAATTCTTCCTCATCAAGAAGGGCAATCCAAAAGATATGAAGCAAGCAAACAGTAAGTGTTCAATCAGGGTTAGAATTTTTCCAGGCAAGAATGGTGCACAAAGAGAGGAACATGTACGCTGTTGGATTTGATGAAAGACCAGCAGAATGATCATAATGATGGACCATTAAATCTATCCTGGACAAAAAAAAATGAGAACATGTAGGCGGTGAAGGAGGGTGAAACGATATTTGATTTTGTGTGTTGAATTTCTGCATTAGGTCAAACAATCCTGTTGGGACCCTAAATAATGCAAGTTACAAAGAAAATGAAATACTTAGAACAGATTTTTAAACTAGAGAAGTCTTTGAGTCTTTTTTTTATTTTAAAGAGAAAGAAAAGAAACAACAATGAAGACAAAAATAAAATACAAAAACAATAAATACAAGATGATAAGAATTTACAATGGTTGTTATATACATATTGTTATCTTCAACGAAGGTGCTCAGATTAACAGATGTAAGAATGCAAGATTGAGCAAACAATAACAATTAATAAAAAGACAATAAAGACAATAACAATTATAAGAAAATTAGAAATGATACAGAGCTTCATTAAACAAGGTGGTAGGAAATCAACAATGGTTGTTATATTGCGTCTTCAAATTAGTTGTTCTAATTACCAGATATAAGCATGCTAAATTGCTCAAGAGAGTAAAAAATTTAACATTAACTGTTCCTTTCAATAGATCAATAGATATCAGCAATATACTTATTTGAGCTATCCTTGTATGTACATATATTTTTCCCTTTTTTAAAAAAATTTTTTTTAAAGATAAAAGAACCAAAACATATTAACAAACACACAGGCATAAGCAAAACACCTAAAAACAATACAGAATTTCAGACAAGGTGATAAGAAATTAACAATGATTGTTGCACTACATATTGTTATCTTCAAATTGGTTACTCAGATAAACACACATAGGCATGTAAGAATGTTGAAACAATTAAATATCAACTGCTCCTTTCAAGAAAGCAATAGAAATTAGTAATACAATTATCTTAGCTATCTTCTGTGTGTGTGTGTGTGTGTGTGCGCATATTTTTCCCTTCTTTTTTTTCTCTTTTCCCTCATCCCAGTTGTTCCTTCCTTTTGAGTAATTTCTTTCCCTTTCACAATATCTATTGTACCTTTTAGATTTTGTTTACTCTTTCAGGTTCTTATACTAGGGAGACAATACGATGTTTACACATGTGAATCTGATTTATCTCACTTACGAGTATGGTCTCTTGATGCATCCATTTGTCTACAAAAGCCTCTAGTTTATCTTTCTTTATAGCTGAGTAATATTCCATTATATAAAAATATCACATCTTTTTATCCATTTCTCAGTTGATGGGCATTTGGGTTGTTTCCACGATTTAGCTATTACAAATTGTGCTGCTATAAACATGGGTCCACATATATCACTGTGGTATGATATTTTTAGTTCTTCTGGAAAAATACCCAAAAGGGAAATAGCTGGGTTGAATGGGACCTCTAATCTTAGTTTACTGAGGAATCTCTGGACTGAGTTCCACAGTGGTTGCACCGGTCTACACTCCCACCAACCATGTAGAAGTGTTCCTTTTTCCCCACAACCCCTCCAGCATTTGTTGTTGGTTAATTTCTTGATGATAGCCATTCTTTCTGGGGTGTGAGTCTTTAAAATTGATATCTTAAAATCTTTATGAATTTTAACTTTATGGTACTACACTTCAAACCGTTTCTCTGTTCCCACATTTTTACCATAATATTTCTTCCTTCTCAGTTCTTGAAGTTCCTCTCTTCCCCAAATAGATGAACTTGGCCCTTATCTTCCTTTACCACTTCACCTAAACACCGTGTCTTTTTAATCTCCTACAGTTCTCTTCTGGCACTTATAGCTTCTGTGCTGTATACAGTAATGGCACCTTTATTTAGCCCTTGATTTTGTCATGTCTTTTATTACACACTTTCTATAGAATATTCCTATTCAAACTTCACAAGTATTTCATGAAGTTGGTACTGTCAGTGTTCCATTTTGTGGAGCACAAAAATCAAGGTGGAGAAAAAATATATTTAACTCAATAGTTTATGTTTTCAGTCTCAAATTATGTCTGTACCTATCTTATTTTCCATGTAGAAGTATTCTGAGGGCATGATCTGCCTCGCCCATAATGTGTTTTCCACAGGATCTTAGTACTTTATATATCGTAGGCACTCAAAAAATGTATTAGAGAAATAATTAAGTGAGGCTATCTAGAACACACTGCCTTCTCTCCTTGGCCTCACCCCATCTTTCTTCCTGTTTTCTGCAAAAGAGAGGAGAAACAATTCTTCCCAGGGCTGGTCTCTCCCGCTTGAAGTCCTTAAGTCAGTACTTTCCATATACTCTAGGACTACAGTCAATTAACTAATCACTATCATTTTTATCATTAAATCATCAGTCATCAATCTTTTTCCTGACTTCTGTCCTTTTTCTACTTTCTTTTCAGCACCAAACATATAAAAACCATGAAGTTCACATTCACGAACCTATTTCCTTATCTCTCTTTCTCCCTCTCCGATTCTGCCTCCATCTTACTACTCAAATTGTTCTCAGCAGGTCATCAAATTGCCACCCAGTGCTGTGCCAGGAGTCATCATTTACCTTTTTACATCACTGGTTCACGGCACACCTCTCCTTTCTCACCTCTAGGGCAATATTCCTCTTTCCTTTCTCCCTCTTCCACCTCCTCTTCCTATCACATACATGCAGACTTATCCAAGGCTCAATTCTAGTTCCTCTTAACTTTCTTTTTCCCATGAAGTGTCCCACTTATGTTCATGGCATTTGTTACTATTGTGCTATTTATTATCATCGCTTTCTTTAATGCCGAAGGTTTCCTGTATTTCTTCATTTCTGCACCTTGAATGGTCCAGTGAACCCCTGAAAGTCAACCTGCTAAGCACAAATTGGTTATTTCTCACCAGAAGTTAGTTTTTTGTCTTAGATGCCTTTCTTTATGCTAATAATAATGGTTATCCTAGTCACTGTTGACAATTGCATCTGTCAGTGATAGAAGATCCCATGATAGTCTACTGTGAGACAACAAGGATATTACACCCCAGGAAGGTTTCCTGTGCTCTCCTTATCCTCTCTACACAGGAAACCAAGAAATAAAGCTTACCTGCTTCACCTACTCACAGCCATCCCCACTCAAGCCAGGCTTGAGGATCTATAATGCCAAGATTACATGTATAATGTATAGTCTCCCCATTTCACCATAATTTTTTAACCTTAAAATTATCATACAATGAATTTATTAAAATTTTTAGGAATATATAATCAAAATTTGGCGGATATGTAATCACATATTCATTCTTTTTCATCTGAAACTTACTCTAAAAACTGAGAAGAGGAAATTTCAAAGGAGTGTAAATATCAGAAACTTAAACTCTATGCTGAGGGTCTTTCCTCCAAGAAATAATTTTATACTATTAATATCACACAAGCCCCCATTTTCTATTGAATATTCAATTAAAATAAGCTTTGAATTGAGTACTTTATATTTGTTTTATAAAGTACCTTATTTCCTTTCTACATTTGTGAGGCCCCTAAGAATGAAGCAACATCTCCTTTCTTAGTCTTCAGATGTTGCTCATCAAAAGGAAATACTCTGATTTTATAAGTGTAACTCTGCTCACAGCAAAACTGCTCAGAATCTTCCAATATGATAACAACACAGTACAGTAACAGCGGTAGGCCGTCATTATTCCAGCCAAATGTGTCACTTCTCTCAATGTCTATTGTGAGACTGTCATCTTGCATCTATCAAGTGGAGCTGCAAGCTACCAGTAGAGAATTGCTCTGTCACTTCAGATACTCATCCTTTTTATTCTTATCCATAGTGACCATGGTAATATGGAATCATCTAAGAAAACCTGACAGTTATGACAATTGAAAAAAGTACTTTCTT